ATCCCCTGGATGCTGCAGCCAAGACTAAATACTGTGTTGTCCACCACTCCATTACTTTGCCCTATGGTAGTGCCGGTGCAAGAACAGGGGTAGTAGCTGCAAGGATGTAATTATTCCATGGGGAAACATGGAGAGGACAAATACAAGGGAGAGAAAATTAGAAACCAACAGAGGGTCTTCTCCTCCTCCCATTGGAGTCAGTGGCAAAGCCCATGATAGATAAATGGAGGACTTATAGGTAGTTTTCAGAAGCCCTCAGAGTTGGCCTGACTGCTCCTGCTAAGGTCAGTAAGCATAGTTAAGCCAACACTGGGTGCATTTGAAAATCCCACTTCTGGGTACATCTATGCTGCAAAACAACATCTTCGGCGGCGAGTCTCAGAGCCCAAGTCAGCTGACTCGGGCTCACGCTATGGAGCTAAATATCGGAGTGTAGACATTCCTGCTCAGAAGGGAGCACAGGCTCTGAGACCAGCCCCCCTCACCAGGTTTCAGAACCTGGGGTCCATCCTGAGAAGTTACATCTACACTGTTTTTAGCCCCGTAGCACGAGCCCAAGTCAGTTGACCCAGGCTCTGAGACTCTCTGCTGTGGATGGTTTTTTTGCCGTGTAGACGTACCCTCACTCTCCAGTGCTCTCAGCAGAGCACTAAATACACTTGACAGAGCAGCCGCAAAACTCTGATTCACTGAAAATGTTATAAAAGTGGGAACAATCTTAATTCTGGGGCAAAACCTTCCTACTGAATGACAAAAGCCTTGCCCCATTGTGGCCAGCTGTTCATGCCCTCAGTCACTGAGGCTCCCTAGCTATGAACAATCCTTTGCATTCAATGTCTGTGATTTGGAATGCCTGTAAATGTCACTTCTTGGACAGAAGCCTTTGGCTGAAATCAGGCTGCTTGACTGAACTCTTCCTACACCCCCACCCCTACAGCGATTTGATCCAGGAACCCTTTCCAACATGTGATTTATATCTTGATCCATCACGGTGGTTGGCAGCACCAACAAGGAGCTCTCTGGGATAAAGGACAGAGAAGGTCCGGGGAGGGGGTGTCTCCTGGCACAGGCTCCAGTGGGCTCCAGGGAATGTGCTAATTTTCACTCCATTACAGCCCTTTATCTCAGCCTTGCAACCTTGAGCTCAGAGACGTTATCAGCTACAGTCAGAAAGCTAGAGTTAACCATTTAAATGCCAAATGGCTCTGATCATCAGCCCTGAAGTTATTAATAAACAATAAGATATAACCTGTTTTTATTGTTCAAAAGGTCACTGTGCTTCAGATTTGGCTAGGGTTGATTTTTAAGGTATTAATAAGAATATGTTGACATGTATATTAAATAGAATGGTAATCTGGTCTAGTGGTTTAAGCAGAGTCCATGGTTATATGTATTTATTTGTATTGTGGCAGTGGCAAGAATTTACATATGCTAGGTGCTGTTCAAACACTTAGCAAAAGACAGTTCCTGGAGCTCAAATCAACGGGTTAGTCTGCAAGGTGCCACAAGGCCTCCTTTTCTTTGTGCGGATACAGACTAACACGGCTGCTACTCTGAAACCTTTCCTGGAGCTGGGTGATCAGATTACTTGGGTGATGATCTTGGGTTCTGGTCCCAGCTCTGCTACTGGCTGCTCTTCGTGGGTTTGGATGTGTTATTTAATGTCTGTGTCACAAAGTGATCACTCTGTATCTGACCTCTCAGTCCTCATCCTCAAAGGAAACCTGCACAACGCTTTCAAAAGACGAGCCTGGGAGCTTAAATTCATCACTCTGCTAGATGTTAAAAATCATGGATTGAACAGAGACACTGGGTTTATGACGTATTACAGTGGTTCTGAATCTTTCCAGACTACTGTATTCCTTTCAGGAGTCTGATTTGTCTTGCATACCCCAAGTTTAAAAACTCCCTCATTTATTTGCTTACAAAATCAGACATAAAAATACAAAAAGTGTCACAGAATACTGTTACTGGAAAATTGCTTACTTTCTCATTTTTACCATATAATTATAAAATAAATTGATTGGAATATAAATATTTTACTTACATTTCAGTGTATAAAGCAGTGTAAACAAATCATTTGTATGAAATTTTAGTTTGTACAGATTTTGCTAGTGCTTTATAGGTAGCCTGCTGTAAAACTAGGCAAATATCTAGCTGAGTTGATGTACCCCCTGGAAGACCTCTGCATACCCCCAGGAGTACGTGTACCCCGGTTGAGAACAACTGGCTTATTACAAAAAGAACAGGAGTACTTGTGGCACCTTAGAGACTAACAAATTTATTTGAACATAAGCCATATCAACTGTAAGAGGCTAATTAATTAAGATGAGCTATTATCAGCAGGAGAAAAATTACTCCTGTTCTTTTTGTGGATACAGACTAACGGGGCTGCTACTCTGAAACCTGGCTTATTACACAGTCTGTTACCCACTAACCCCCTCTTTTTGTCTTAAGGAAAGGAGTACTTGTGGCACCTTAGAGACTAACCAATTTATTTGAGCATGAGCTTTCATGAGCCACAGCTCAAAGCTCATGCTCAAATAAATTGGTTAGTCTCTAAGGTGCCACAAGTACTCCTTTTCTTTTTGCGAATACAGACTAACACGGCTGTTCCTCTGAAACCTGTCTTTTTGTCTTGTGACTGCAGAGGTGTTAATGGGCAACTCTACATGAAGGGTCCCTTACAATATGTACTAACTACTTATACTAAATGACAGGTTTCAGAGTAGCAGCCCTATTAGTCTGTATCCGCAAAAAGAAAAGGAGTACTTGTGGCACCTTAGAGACTAACAAATCTATTTGAGCATAAGCTTTCATGAGCTACTTATACTAAACAATTTCTTGGCTGGGAGTACCTTTCCCAGACCTGAAGAAGAGCTCTGTCTAGCTCCAAAGCTTGTCTCTCTCGCCAACAGAAAAGTTGGTCCACCTTATTGTCTCTTTAATGTCTGTCTCAAGTTTCTCTGTCTGCAAAATGAGGCTAATACTAGTTTGGGGTGTTGTGAGAATTAGTTAGATACAAACTGTGTGTGCGTGTGTGTGTGTGTGTGTGTGTGTGTATCAGCTTTGCTGTCTTTGCTGCTGGCAGGTGATATGATGCCGGAAAAAATTCCTCTTAGTTGCAGGGCATGAATGGCCCGCTTCATGGGGCTCTGGTAAATGGAGAGAAGCATAGCTGCCTGCAAAATGTGCTCACTTTAATCAGTTCAGCATGCACAGGGTTAATTTCTCCATGCCTTCAGATTGTTTTGTTTTCAGAGATTCTGAACCATTGCCTCCAGCTGTTGATTTTCATTGAACTCGGGTGACCTTTGTCTGTCCAATCTAGTTAAAACCTGCTCCATTGCCCAGAGCCTCTTCAGAGAAAGCTCAGTAAAACCAAGCACAGCTGCTGGGATACTAACATCCTTTTAAACATTGTCATTTCCAGTTGCCATGTTTCCTTCCTGACCTCTTACGGGTTGGAGCTCACCTGGTGTTTTCACAGGACACTTTTCTCTGTCTCCACTTTTCTACATCAGTTTTTAGAGAACTGCCATTACAAAGTCTGGTGAATGAAGAAGGAACAAACTGCTGTGGGCAGCAAAAAATCCCACTTAGCCGAACGCACAACTTGAATATTAGTATCCTCAAATGCACCATTCAAGCTACTGAAACAATTTTCCACTGTTGGTAACACCAGTGCAGCTCCAATGAGGGTAGCAAGAATGAGAACACTCATGGAGAAAAAGCTACCAATGCTGTTGGTACTTTTAACACCATATTATTTAAATCAGCTCTGAACAGGGCTAAGCAGCACAGTGGTGAAAATGCTGGCAGCCAGTCTATAGGGCTCCCCTTTTTGCCACTACCAGTGTTAACAGCTGTGGGGAAATTTTGCCAAAAGTCCCATAGTATAGACACAGTCTAAAAGCTTGACCTTGGAAATGCGCTGAGCTGTGTGCTGAGGAGACACTTTTCCGTTGCTCTGATGCAGATGTTATCATCCCTGTCGTCTTGGGAACCGTCAAAGAGACAAGTGTACTGGGAAATGGGACTTCTACGCTCAGCAACAAACAGCTGGGACCATTCTGAATCCAAATCATTGTGTCAGTGCGAAAAGGTTATGCATTCACTTGGCTGCTAAGCTGCCTCAAGGCAATAATCAAACTATTACCGGACAGGAAGAGTGAAAGAAGGGTTTAACGGATCCTCATGGGTCTTTAGCAGCCTTAGGGTATATTATTGCTAATGAAAAATTATTATATGTACTATTAAAGTAGTGAACACCAACAGTGTGCGTGGCACCTGGCAGTACATAATGACTGGGGATCATATTCTGCTCAGTTACATCACAGTAAATATGGAATAATTCTGTTGACTTTAGTAGAGTGACTTCTGGATTTACGGCAGTGTTACTGAGACCAGTGTTTGGCCCATGATCTCTGCCCCAAGGAACTCACAATCTAAAATACACAGATAGAGTAGTTAGACACAGTGCAGATACAAAGCACACGAAGGTAATGGGGTCAGAGAAGAATTTGATCCATTACTTTTAATATGTAATTCATCAGTAGATTTTATTGGAAAGGCTTTCTGGGTAAATTGTGTTTTAAGGAAGTATTTGAGTAAAGAGAGGGTGGACGTTTTCTTTCTGTGCGGGGGGTGGAAACTCTGATGGAAGGGAGCAGAAAGCAGGAATCACTGAACAAATAGACGTTGATCAACGAAAATAGGTGGTGGTGGTGCTGAAATCTAATTTAAAACCAATAACAAGTTAAACTCTTAATGAAGTGGGGAAACTATTGACCAAACTGCCGTGCTTCCCTTCCAGCCCTACCAATATACCAGTGTTCCTTGTTCAACCCTGGGAAACTTGCAGTGCTTAGTTCGGATGGTTTTCTTCAGTTGATAAAATTAACTTGCTTCCAATCTCGGAGAAGATGAGATCTGTCCTTCAGCATATTATGGATACAGCAGGGAGCCATGACGTGACTGATTGTGTTTTTCATTTCCAGGGACCTTCCAGACGATCCAACTGTTGACTGGGACACACATCTCCTCTCTACTTTTGTGCTAAAGCACATAGAAACCAACAACATCAACCTGGTAATGTGCAACTTTCTACAGCAAAGGGATTTTGCCCACAACATTCTATGCTATCACTATTCCAGATTCTTTGCTCCCTTTTTAAAAGGTTTATTTTTTGTAGAGTTTTGCTTAGAATTTTACTATTGGAGGCTCCTTGGGGCAGGTGGGGAGGGGAAAGGAAATGGTGTCTACCCTGTTTTGAATCAGGTACATTACAATCTTTACCCATTGCTGTAATTCAGCCCTACAAGGCACCTTTATGTGGTCATTTTCCCAACCTTCTCTAAGAAGTCAGCAGCCTTCACTGAAATTCATTGTCAAACAAACTCAAAAACTCGGGGCAAAGCTCCTTTGAAACTGGTAAGTTTCACCATAAATGAGCACCAGGTTCATTAATTTAGGGAGCCTGCAATGCAGCCCAAAATTAGGCTTGCGTCTTGTGATTTCAAGTTTATGTGTGAGCATTTGTGCAGCTTTTGTGTCTATTCCTCTGAAGATTCCAGAAACTCTCCCATGCCTCTTTTATAGGTAAAACAAAATCAGACTAACCCTCTTCCAAATACTTTAACACCTCCAAAGAGACCAAAACAAATAAAACAGCCTTATAAAATAAAATGGGAAAGGATGACACTGTAGGTTAATGGATGAACCTCAGGTCAATTCCCGACTGTTACACAAGTGAAATGAGCTTGGAGAGGTCTTACCCTAGTCACTAGTGGATGTTTGTTTACATTTTAAAAGCAGTTTGTCACAGCTGATAGTCTTCATCTATGAAAAACCCAGGATTGTCTGAGAGTCAAGGTTTGAGATATGTTGGCAGAATTCTGTGTTGGGACCCAGGACTGGAATCCCAGGGGGATCGCTGGTCAGGACTCAAGTGCATTGGAAGATCTGTGTGGGAGCCCAGGACTGAAACAGTAGGGTTTCTACAGAACAGGATTAAAGCACTATGTAGTGAGGAAATATGCAAAAAACCCCTCTCTACTAAGTGTGGCTGTAGTCTGGCATGATAGTCCCTGTGATGTGGTGGCTGCCCCACACAGGCAGGAGCAGGGTTAAGGCAGCGGTGGAGAGGCTGCGCAGCATCCAGCCAATCAGGAAAGGGTTTATTGAGAGAGCCAATCAGGAGAAGGCTTGCTGGAGCAGCCCATATATAAAGGGCTGCTCAGCAGAGTAAGAGGCAGTCTCTCCCTGGAGGGCAAGGGGTAAGGACTGTCTGCTGGCCAAGGAGCACTGGAGATACTGCAGTGCTGGGCAGGGTAGCAGAGCAGTAAGGGAGCTCTTGGCTGACCTTGGCTAGACTGAGGCCCTGAAGCAAGGGCAGGAAGATGCTAGGGCTATGGGGGAAAGTAGGCGGGGGAAATAGGAGGAGAGGCAGAAAGTGGCTGCCAGCTATAGGGTCCCTGGGCAGGGACCCAGAGTAGCGGGTGGGCCTGGGTTTCCCCCTCCTTTACCCCTACTTGCCAATGAGGAGATTGGCCTAAATCCAGACTGCAGTTTGCCCCGGAAGCCAGGGGCTAGATTAGAGACTGCAGTTGCTGCTGAGGCAAGTGGAAGAAGTTGTCCCCCAAATTGGGGAGACAGCAGGCTGGGGCACAGCTGGAGGGCTGGGTCCCGAAGATATCATGGTGGAGAAAATGGAAGTAACGGCAAGTGAGACACCGCTAGTAAAAGGCGCCCTGGTGGTCCAAGAGAGCTTATTCCCAGCACGACCAGCAGGAGATGCCGCAGCGATGGGTCGACACTGTTACAGTCCCTCATGCTTCTTTAGCACCAAACTCACAAAATATTGAAAACAAACCCCACGGCAATATACAAGACAACAAAGGAGGGCAGAGACTGTGAATCAGAGTCACTCTGAGTCTTGTAACACAGGAACTGAAAGCTCCTTAGCAAGAGACAGCTCATGCTTCCAACTCTGTATTGATTCTGAGGCTAATTATCCATGAAATTCATTGGTGTGCACAGGGAAGTCAGATGCAGCTTTCCTACAGTCATTCAGTGTATTTCGGCCCTGTGAATAGTCAGGAGTTTTAATATGATATGAAAGCTCTTAACACAAGAGGACTTGGATTGCATGTTCTTGACTCTCTTGGGCAGCAGCGCAAACCCTTTGAAGTCCCAGTAGAAATCCTGAATCCACTAAAACTTCTCCTGAATAACGAGGAAGGGTTGGAGCGCTGTCTCAGAGGAAACGAAACGCAAGTTTTGTGTGGTGCGGAGGGCATAGGAGGCTTAAGTCTTGCAGTTATGTAGTGTGAGTTGAAAAATCACGTGCATTGGTTTCAAAGCATGAAACATTAACATCACAAGTGCCCTTCATGCTGTGCAGCTAGCATGGCATGTAGCCTTGTTAATGATGAAAGCAATGGACCCTGAAAACCTGGATCCATGGCTTTTGGGACCCACTGCATCCCTCTATCTGGACGTGTTCAAACAGTTCACTGAACTGCTCTGAGCTTGGTCTGTGTAAATGGAGGAGATTTGTTTCCCAGACAAATGAATCTTTGTCACTGCCATAGAGGGCCACCTTGGAAACTTGCCAGGTGCCAGTGGCATCAGATTTGCATCTAGATTTACATAATTTTAAACCCCCAGATAAATGCCAGTGGCCCAGATAGTCGCTGGTTCTTGTAACTTCCCTAAATCAGAAGTAGGAGTAGAGTTTGCCAACAATGAAAACAAGCGGTTGATTAGTTTAGTTGAGCACCTACAACTTGGGTGTCTTCTACGTTGTAAAACTCTGTGGTGTGGGCTACAGGTAGCTCTTGTCCACACGTTGGGGGTGTTATACCAATAAAATAAAAACCAGCAGGATCTTATTAAAGGGGAAAAGGCAAAATGCCACATTTATTGTGAATACAGAAAGAATCATAGTAAGCAGTTAGTTATAGCTATAACATTCCATTCAATCTCATATTTATTCACACATTCATTCATACACACACACACACACAGGTTCTGCAAGGTTGTTATCATAGTTACCAGCCTTAGAGTTGCTCATGCCAAGCCACTGGACAGGTGGCCTGGACATGAGGAGGGAGCAGGGCGTTGTCAGATGCTCATCTGATGCTCCTGGAAGTTGGTTTGCAGAATCAGACCCCAAACTTCTTACTTTCTAGAGTCCATTTTTATAGGAATTTCTTCCTATGCCAGTCTATGGGAATTGCTTCATCATGCTGTTGCTGAATCGATCAGCAGATGGCACATTCCTGACGGCTCCGTGCTGCTAGATGTTATCTTGTTCTTTGGTTCTCCCATTCTTGAGGCTGTTGGGTGGATTCCAGTCTGCCCTCCGGGGGTCCTCTAGTTATTTCCGCTTGACGCTTTCTTCAGCCGATGGACACTGGATTCTTAGGCTGGCACCTCCCTGATCATTCAGTTATTATCCACACCAAGCATCCATCCACATACATCCTCTATCTCTATTTTAATCACAATTGTTAACAAAGCGAGATGAGTACAACAAAAGGGCAGGAAGTCTCTGGGTGCTGTTTCTGTTGTTACAGAGTATTGCTTTGAGTCTCTCCCTGTGTGAGTAGTTGTTGTTACAAAGAATTGCTTTGAGAACAGACTCTGTCTTAGAATGTCTAACACAATTAGCAGCTTGCAAGTTTCACACATAGAGGGAGAGAAACACTACCAAAAACCAAGAGACCTCTTAATTAGTAATACCCTGGAATTTAAACTATGGGGAATCAAACTCATTTGTGATTTTAATACAGAACTTCTTTAAGATGATCCAACAGGGGGCCCTCCTGTCCAGAGACTAGGGCCCTGGCTTTGACGGGCAAAAACATTGGGTGTTTCAGCCACGTTGGCTTGGCTGACTTACCTTACCATGACTGAAAAGCCTGGTTGAGTTACAGGCTAACATGGCTACACTCAGTTGACTTAACATGACTGAAAAACACACACCCTTTTGCCCATTAAGACAGGCACCAGACCTTACCCCAGCTCTTCTCCAGAATTGTTGCACAGAGAACTATATCTCGTATTTACAGAACTCCTGTGTCATTTGGCCATGGGGAGACATGCTAGAGTTCCAGCATGTCTGAAAGGAGGGATTGTGGGAGAGGGAGTCACACTATGTTCTGTGTATTTCTGTTCTATTACATAGTTACTCATTTCCCCAATTGCCCTGGAAGTCAGCGAGTAACTCAATCTCTTTGAGAGCTACAGGGACATGTGTCATCCTAGCTCAACATTAAATAGTGGAGACACAGAAATTAAAGGTTGGTGAACTCAAAGCCAAAACTAATTTATAAACTTTGGAAATAATTTCCTGCCTGCTAGATTTCTAAGTAAAAGCCAGTGTTGCAGGGAGTATCAGCCAAAGCCAGTCTGTCTCGATCTGGATTAGAAAGTACCTAGTGTATGTACCGCATGTTACATGCTATTGCTTGGGCCTCAGACAACCTCTAGATGATGCAATGCCTGTTAGTCAGGATCTCAGGCAATAGTGTTATTGGAGGCTTGGTGAAAGCAGAAATGGGATGAGGAGCTAGCATTCAGATTGTGCTGGGGCAGAGCTAGAGCTGGGTTCAAAGGTACCAGAATCTTATGAGTTACTCTCCACTTGGGACTGGTGGAAATCTCTCAACTTCAACTGCTCTAGAAAGATTCCCATCATCTTGGGCCACCTCCAAACCAGCCAGGCCCCCTCTAGTTTTGGAATTCAAACTCTGGACGTTGGGTTCAGATCTGGGGTTTTGAATCAGAATCCCCCAGCTCCTGAAATTTAAGAGACTCAAATTTGATATTCTAGTGTAGAAAGGACTTTATATGGCTTTGCAGGACACTGGGAACATAATGCAGCATGCACAGTTTGAATGCGCCTCTTGCAAGAATCTCTGCCATCCCTGCTTTCTCCCACCTTTCTTTGTGCTGTAGTTTTATCAGGTGTGCTTGAGGCAGGCAAAAGAATGAAAGGTCCTGTGGGCTTTCCTAAAGAGCTGGCACTCACTCAGACATCTGCAGCTCCAGTCCAGCCAGCGCTGCGATGCAGACTGTGGTTTGATTTTGGCCCAATAGCCCATTATTTTAAATTATAGTTTCTCTTGTTTAACAGCATGTGGGAGGGGGCCAAAGTGCTCTCCAAATCCAGCTGGATGTCTTCCAAAAACCTGCCCCACAAAGGACCAAAGAGGAGACCGCATAGGGTGTAATTTCTAATGACCTTTCCAAGCCCGTAAAAATTATATGTGGAGGAAATGGGGCTATAAAAGCAGGTTGCTCCTACAGTGTTTTCTTGGATGGCCCACTTCCTCAGAAAGAACAGAGAATCTGCTCCACAGAAAGGAAAATATCTATCCCGTCGGTCTCCTTGAGCAGAGGTGAGCTGCATTTTAAAATATTAGGCGGTGCCAGCAACTGTCAGGAGACCCAGTGTTTTTCTTCTCCAGTGTGCTTGATTTGCAGAGGAAGCTCAGAGTCTAGAGCTCTTAGCTCTTCTGCTGGTAATTGAGCAGATTTCCTCTGTGCTCCCCGCCCCCTCCGGAAGGGATTTCTGGTTCCTTGTTTATGTTGGCTGCATTGCTGGCTTCCACCAGTGAAAGTTCCATCTCCTAGATACCAAGATCATCCGGAAAAAGAAAACCCATCAGCACCAACAGCCACAGCTCCCTTTTCAGAACAGATGTGGAGAAGAAAACCCCCAAAGATTCCACCGAACAAGAATATTTCCTGTTCCAGCCTCTTGATCACAGAAATAGTCACACCCGTGTTCCAGCCCAGGCAGAATCAAGATGTGCAGGTTGTTCTATCTTATCCTGATTGCTTGCTTGCTTTCGTCATCAGCAGGTTGGGTTATGTTTTTAAACCAAACATGTAACTGGTGCTGTCGGGGTTCCCTCCCTACTCTGAACTTTAGGGTACAGATGTGGGGACCCACTTGAAAGACCCCCTAAGCTTATTTCTACCAGCTTAGGTTAAAACTTCCCCAAGGCACAAATTCTTTGCCCTTGGAGGGTACACCGTCACCACCAAGTGATTTAACAAAGAATCAGGGAAAGGACCACTTGGAGTTCCTATTCCCCCCAAATATCCCTCAAAGCCCTTACATCCCCTTTCCTGGGGAGGCTTGAGAATAATATCCTAACCAGTTGGTTACAAAGTGGTCACAGACCCAAACCCCTGGGTCTTACGACAATAGATGAATCAGTCAGGTTCTTAAAAGAAGGATTTTATTTTTAAAAAAAGGTAAAAATCACCTCTGTAAAATCAGGATGGAAAATAACTTTACAGGGTAACAAAAGATTCAAAAACACAGCAGAACTTCCTCTAGGCTTAGTTTCAAAGTTACAAAAAACAGGAATAAACCTCCCTCCAGCAAAGAAAAAATTCACAAGCAGAACAAAAGATAATCTAACACACCTTGCCTGGCTTTTACTTACAATTTTTGTAATATGAGAGACTTTTGGATGGTTTATAGGAGAAGGAGTTTTCTGATCTGATGCTTCTCCGCTTCCCAAGAGAACACACAAAACAAAGCCTTCCCACCCACCCCAAGATTTGAAAGTATCTTCTTTCCCCATTGGTCCTTTTGGTCAGGTGCCAACCAGGTTATTTGAGCTTCTGAACCCTTTAAAGGTAAGGAGGAATTCTAGGCTACCCTTAGCTGTATGGTTATGACAGATGCACTGTGTGGAAGGAGCAAAAGTTCCTCTGTGAAAGTTATCTCCAGCATGTGAAACACAAACTGGGAAGTCAGATTATAAAATAAATTCCCAAGGGCCAAGGAATGCATTGAAATGTGATTGCGGCGTACTTTCAGAATACTAGCAGTAATGAATACAGCAACCAGACTATATGAAATCAGTGGCCTGTGTGATAGACCCTAAACACTACGGACAGATGAGATGTCACTGCCAATCATAAGCTGCATGTCAGCAGTGAATGAAGTGATACCTGTGAATACAGGGCCAACATTTCAAAGGTAATCACCTAAGTTATACAGGTAAAATGTACACCCATATGCCTTTCTCCTACAAGACAGGTCACTGGATGAGTACAATGAATAACTGCACACACATCTGCATGCTTGTAGGCACAGTAGATTCACATACAAATATCTTGGGCATGAGTTAAGCAACATCATTTGGAAATCAGTCCCGTACAGTCTGCCTAGCACATTCAGATACTATCCCAATTTAAGCTATTTGTTATTTTAATTATGTACGGTAGACAGAGATTCTTATCTCTCCCCCATGCCCCCAGTATCTGAGCACCTTCCAGTAGCACAGTTTGGCAATGTCTACACTGCACAGCTTTTAACGACCTGGCTGTGTTACCACAGCCGTGCCGCTAGAAGTCACGCAGTGTCGCTGCTGTTTGTCGGCTCTCCTGCCGCCAAAAAACTTCTACCCCCAACGAACGGCGTTCACGTTGTCAGCAGGTAAACGCTCCTGCCAACAACGCACGGTTCACACCGGCATTTGTGGCGGCAACACTTGTGTCTTTCGGGGGAGGGGGTTAACACCTCTGAAAGACAAAAGTTTTGTCGTTCAATTGCCAGGGGAGACATAGCCTAAGTGACGTGACTAACAGTTGTCAAGGGTGGCTTATTCTCTCATCCTCTCCCCAGAGGAAGACGCGTGCCTGCAGTGAGGTATGTTTTGTTTTGGTAGGTTTTTTAAAGTACATGCTGCTCTGTGCGTCTGTAAATATGTCCTGTCTTAGGGCCAGATTCTCCCACTCTGACTTATGTGGAGTAGCACCTTGCTACTCCCATTAAAATCATTGGGACTAATTGTGACCTAAGGAATGTATGACTCGGTGTAAAGGTGAATTTAGACTGTTAGTTCTTTGGGGCAAGGACAGTGTCTTATCTCTGGTGTATAGAGCTCCATGTGAATTCATTGCACTGTCTGGTGTTCTATCGTAACTCGATCAGCTCTCTGCCTTAGGCCCTGAGTGTGTGACATACTGTATGAGCTGAAATCCAGGAGGATCAGGCAAGCTCAGTACCTCACAGAACCATGCTTGTAGTGGGAATAGCCTTTCAAAAAGATGCCAAGTACAGAAAAAGGGGCAGTACTGAGTTATGCAAATTTACTCGGTGTGAAAGAGATACCAAGGAAACAACTCGTAATGTCTGGCAAAAACCAGTGGGGCTTCCACCAGACACGTTCTAAAGAGTCAAATAATGACCAATTAATTCTCCTGCTGGGTAGCCAAACTCATTGCACCAAATTACAGCTGCTGAGCAAAATGAAAAGTGTAACTGGGGACTCTCATAGGGTGGAGAACCTTTACAAAGGCTTGTCCAGTGCCTGTGTTTTCTGGATCTTTCTCAGGGTATGTCTTCACTACCCACGCCGCGGCAGCGCTTTAATGTGGCTTGTGTAGTCGCAGCCCCCGTCTCCCAGCGCTGTAAAAACCGCCCCCCCACCCCCGAGGGGAGCACGGCTCCCAATGCTGGTGCACTGTCTACATTGGCACTTCACAGCGCTGAAACTTGCTGCGCTCAGGGGGTGTTTTTTTCACACCCCGAGCGAGAAAGTTTCAGCGCTGTAAAGTGCCAGTGTAGACAAGGCCTGAGTCTGTCTTTGACTGTTGTTCAAAGCACCTTCTGTGTTTGAAAGGGATGCCTGGGCTGCTCTTCCTGGCGCAGCAGGTTGCAAAGCAGGTGGGGAGACTGTTTGATCTTCCCTCAACCTTTTACCCAGTGCTTTGGGCGTTGCCTGTGAAACTGATTTGGAGAAAGGAACAGTTGTGAGTAAGCAAGGCTGTGGCATTTCCTCCCAGTACTAAAGGGACAGAACAGGCTGGGCAAGGAAGGAGACACTAGGGAGGTGTTGATTTCTTTGCAGCCCACAGACCACACTACCTTTGAATAATGAAATAAAACCTTTCCCTGTGCAGACAAATAATAGTATATTGTTCCAACCTGACCAAGAGCCTGCCTTAGCCAAACACAGGACACTGTTAGCTGGTTGGTTAAAATAACATATTCCAGAAACAGGCTGTTTTTTCACAGTGTGATCCTGAAGTGCCTTCCCATTACAGGCACAAAAGTGATTTATGGAGCCTGCTGTTCCTGCCTGAGTGATAATGTCATGGTCTAGGGCCTAACAAAGCACAGTCTTGCCCTGCAGTTCACATGCACCCCAGTAATCTGTCAACTCCAGGAGAAAGGGACTTGTATAGTAGATTCTCCTGGATCCAGTAACCAGGAGGTTATGAGAGAGAACTTCTTCAGAGTAACTGTGAGGTCTGATTATTATTAGTAACGTGTATCCGGATATTCAGGAAGTGATGCTTCTCATCTTTCTGTCTAGGCTTTTACACTTCTCTCAGCACCATGGGGTCTGAATTATTATTATTATTTTATTTTATGTATTATTTGTATTACTGTAGAACCTCAGAGCCCTAGTCATGGACCAGGATTCCACTGTGCTAGTTGCTTTACAAACATGGGACTCACTCAAGCCTTTTGGCTGGGACAGTGCTGAGTTACACAAATACCCAACCCCCTCGAATTTAGTTGCAACCTTTTACTGCACTCTGCTCCTTTGCTAAATAACTGTGTTCTGTGGGTTTTTTTGCAGCTGATAACCTTTGATGCGGGAGGAGTGAGCGGCCACGCTAACCACATCGCCCTTTACGCAGCTCTAAGGTACAGCGATGTTGTACAGTCCATTGCGCGCCTTGCCGAAATGCTATTTGAAACAGAGCGCATGTGGTGCCTGTGGAAGTAAAAGATTAATACTAGAGCCAAGCACTGCCTGGACTTCACCGATTCACCTCAGTCCCGACCTGCAGCACCCTCTGCTATTCCACTTGTGGGAACTGCCCAAAACTCTGCCAGTGCACCCGTGACCAGTGCACCCCTATCTGTTCTACTCCTGTGCTCTCCCAATATTTCTCCGCTAGTGCCCCTCACTGTGGGCTTGCAAGCCCCCACTCTGCTGATCCTGTTCTGGGCCCCTTTGTATCTACACTTTCTGACTCCTAGCTTTGTGTTATGAATGCACTTTCACCAAAATGTGATGCACAACTCACGTCCCATGTGCACTGATGGATTTAGAAGAATGTTTGAATGGAAGAGACTCTGGCCCCTGAATTCCATTCCCTGCAGTCTAGCAGGCCTGCATCTCTTTAACATCAGAGGGGTAGCCGTGTTAGTCTGTATCCACAAAAACAACGAAAAGTCCAGTGGCACCTTAAAGACTAACAGATTTATTTGGGCATAAGCTTTCGTGGGTAAAAAGAAGTGCATTTTTTCCCCAGGAAAGCTTATGCCCAAATAAATCTGTTAGTCTTTAAGGTGCCAACAGACTCCTTGTTGTTTTTGTTCTCTTTAACGTGTCTTCCCCCCAAATACAGAGTCACTCTCTGCTCTCATTCATTTAATCCAGCAGCTCCACAGCTACTGAGGGATTAAGTTTTATTTTTAGTGGCTGCTGCTGCTGCTTCTTTAATTTTTTTTGTGGGGGCAGCCTGTGTCACAGAGGAACTAGAGCATGACCACATCACTCATGGTTTCTGTGCCCTGATGAGTTCTCACACACACTGCTTTCAGACAGAGCTGCAGAGCATGTGCGGTGACCTTTCACACGCATTGATGTTCCTGCCTGCTGCTGTCCCCCATATGATTGTATGGGAAAAAAAGCAGCAAAGAGATCGAATTAACCCTCTCCCCTCCCTGTCTCTGTGTCAGCTAGTACCATGTATGGTACTTGCATTGGACTAACACAGTTAGCCTTTCAAACTGTCTTGCAGGATCCCCCAGGCACTCTTGTAGATGAAAAAGGTAAATTGGGGTGCTATTCCAGTTAATTAAATGATTTTGCACCCTGTTTGACCCTGTCACTTCTGCCTCATGCCCTCCAAAGGCAGGGGTCAAGTGGGCTGCATGACCAACCCCAGGATTCTCTCATATACCAGTCTCCTGATATACTGCTTTTGTGGCTGGTCCAGTTGCTGCTATTTCATATGTGTCCAAGCCCCAGATTTGTGGATAGCTATAAAATGTCAGGGCTTGTGGGGAGGATTTGTTTTTCTGCAAGAAATAAAAAGCATACATTAGCATTTTGCTTGAAATCCTCCTGTGGGGATTTTGAAGGCAGCCCCAAACCAACAGAAAAGAAACTTTTTTTTACAAAATTCTTTTCACCTAAGAATGAAGTGATGGACACAGTCCCTGTAATGGGCCCCACCCCATCATCTTCCCATGCCAGTGCTTTGGGATTCTTTGGAAGGAAGTCCGGGGAGAGTCCTCTCTTCTCCCCAGCATGCTTAAAGCTCCCATGTCCCAGTAACCACTCTCTGGCCAAGAGGGGCTGGATGTTTCACCATGTCTCTGTCAGAAGAGATGGCTCCAGAAACGTACCATGGTTCCTCGCCCATTTGCAGAACTCCAAGCCCTTAATGGCCCAGTGATTAAGCCACCTGCCTTATCCCAGTTTTTGCCTTTTAAATGAGTAAGTATGCGAGAGTCTGCTACTGAAAAGTTTCAGAGTAGCAGCCGTGTTAGTCTGTATTCACAAAAAGAAAAGGAGGATTTGTGGCACCTTAGAGACTAACCAATTTATTTGAGCATGAAAGCTTATGCTCAAATAAATTGGTTAGTCTCTAAGGTGCCACAAGTCCTCCTTTTCTTTTTGCTACTGAAAAGTGTTAGTTTGACAGTCCTGGAAGCTGAAATCCTTCCACAGAACAGGTACAGTTTGGACAGCAGCAGTGCAAGTTATCCCATTCTGCCCCCTGCACCAGCCTCTAAAGCATGTGAGGTTGAAGCTTCATCGCCCATTCGATCTGGGGAGACTGCCAAGAATGCTGGGGGTGGGGTGACATCTGTGGCTGATTTGAGACTCGCCAGACCCATTTTACACCCATCAAATGGCACTGATGGGCTTCGTTTTATAGCAGGATTTCTCAAACTGTGTTCTGTGACTAACTGGTGGCCACAGAGCACTTGCTGGTGGTCCAGGAAGAGCTGGCTAGTCATGTAACAATGGTTACTCCCGAGAGAGACAGAGCAGTGGAAAGGAGAGACGAAAGGAAGATCAAAAGGAGAGAATGTGACTATTTTATTGCACTGAAGCCAGCTAACAATACATCTCTGCTGTCCTCATACGCCACCTCCTCCTCATAAGCTACTGCTGCAGTCGCCACAGGGATGCTTTGGGATCGGAAATGGGAGGTGGTTCCAACCCATCATGAACAAGGGGGGAGGTGACCATGAGACAATCCCCTTTTAACATGAAGTTATTTAGCTTGTAAAAAGTTCATGGCATGGACTGTACACTACTCTGTTGTACTGTGCCCAGCACAATGGGTTCTCAGTTGGTCCCTACGCACAACGAGGGTAAACATGATTACTGAAGAGGTGCATGCGATGGACAAGTTTGAGAACCCGTGTTTTAGAAGACGATGATTAGAAGCACTTTTGTTTTATAGAGATGGGGTTGTACACTGATGTCATGGATGGCATCGAGGTGATTTTGGTTTGCATGAGTCTCAGGGCATTTCCATTTTAAACAGACCCTCCTGCCAAGCGAATGTGTGTTTTGTTGGCTTAAGATAAAATGGAATGTTCTCTACTGGGGTTTGCACACCCACTTCCTCTAGTGAAATCCATCTCTTCCCATTTAGAATATGAAAGAACAATCCCTTCGCTGCTTAGGCCAGAGCAAACTGAGTGGAAAATAGGAGCTGCTAATTTAACCACTGTGCATTATGTTGTTATAGCAACTGCATCCATAAAACTTATATCAACGAGGCCACGTAGAAAGCTACATCAAGGTATCATTAGTTGAGCAATTCTTGTCAATTCCATTCAGAAAAACGATCTAACTCCTCCAGTTTGTTTCCAAATGGCTGTAAACTCAGCGGCGGGTTCTAAATGAAGCCCTGTGGAGATGGTATTTGGGAGCTTAGTGTTTTATCATTTATGAGCTGATAATGATGCTGTTTGAGTGTCATTGATGCTTTGTTGTGGTTAAGTGCCCTGGCTTGAATCTTTCATGTGCTGTGTATGGCTGCCATGGGAGAGTTGATTTGTATTTGGGACATATGTACAAAAGAAAAATGTATTTGTTGTCCCATGTACATTGTACTGGGACATATTCAGATATGGGGTTTAATTGAATGCCAATTGCAAATAGGTAAAGAAAATGGCTAATATCCAGCCAAATCCTGCAGACCTTACTCTGACAAAACTCCCTTTGAGGCTGAAGACTGCAGAATTTTCTTGACTTAGGAATTCCAGCTCATGCTTAGAGACACGATGTGCAAGGAGCAGGTTCCTCTTCAGATGATTAGGTGGATGATGATGGTATGTGGCACCCACTGCTCCCTTTGTCTTGGACGTCTTCCCACATTGATGGAGAGCTTGGGCCTGATTCTGATCTTACACCCGTTTTACACAGCTGTGCCCCATTAATTTCAATGGCATTACTCCTGATTTCACCATGTAAGTGAAAACATAATGTAGCCCTATGTTTTCCCATGTCACCCTCCTCCCCTTTCCTGGACGCCTCTTCACTCCATCCTGGAGAAGGATTTCCTGGGATGATTCATTTTGAGTGATTTAGTATCTGTCTGTGTTCTAGCTCCAATCTCAAGTGGTGATGAGACTTCCGAAGGAGGAACGGCTGAGGCCTGAACGTTTTCCTTCTGGTGCTGGGACCTCATGTTGTTGTCCCTCCTTGCAAGAGTCAAGGTTGTTCTGTATTGTACATGTTCCAGTGTTTTTTCTAGCCTCGTTTTACTAATTCCAGGGGATGGGGAGAATCAAGGAGGTTAGAGACAGGAGTGCCATCTAAGGTCCATGCAGCCCATCTCCATGGAGTCCGAGTAAAATGGTCTCTCACTATATGTTTTTCTAGTGCTCTGTTCAGTCTGGTGTTTGCGGTCTCAAATGATTGGGCTTCCACCACTTTCCTTGGAGAGTCAGCCCACAGCTATAATATATCACCTTGATTGCCAGCTTATAAATTCCCTTTCTGAATCTCACCTCTTTCCTTCTTCCAGCCTTTTCCTCATTCTTTATTCTGACGAGGTTGTTCTGATGTCTCCCCCTGAGCTGAGAGCCACAAAAATAAACTGAGCAGAAGGCACCAAATTCGTTAGTACTCAGCAAAGCTATTTCCTTGGTAACAGTGACCATGCTTAAACAAAATAATAGATCCCTCTGGGAATAGCCTCCCCCAGATCGTTAAGATTTTAGCAGTTTGTTCATGTAGTTGATTGAAGCTGTAACCTTTCCACACTCCACCCCCACACAGTACGGAGGCGAAAGCAGTGTCAGCGATGAAGCAGCTCCGTCATTTGTGAACTGGAAGATCCCTGGGTCACCCCTTCTCCAGATTACTTTGAATTGGCGAGGCCCCATCCTTTGTTGCTGAAATATGAATGAGCATAGATTGTATGAATGTTTTAAACTGTGTTTTGCCTACACAGTGCGGTTCTGGGTGCAGGGGAAATGCAGCTGGCCAGTCCAGTTAGGGTGGGGGAGGTATTTCAGATTGTAAACATTCAACATCTGGCAAATCTCTCGCTGTATGTAACATCCCTGGGACTCCTAGGAGACTGGCTGCTCTTCCTGCTCCACATCTATTTCATCATATTAATTGGGCAGATTAGGGGACAGGAACCTAAATGGAGCCCCAGCTGCGCCTTGCATTCCCTGCTATGCTCCTGCAAACTGTATTTCCTCAGTATGCCTTAGCAGATAGCCTAGTGAATACAGTGTAGGGTTTTATGTTCCCCACAGTGGGACCCTCTTAGAGTGAAGTCATGGATTTCATGGAACAATTTCTCTCTGAGCAGAGTGTCACCAACACAGCAATCTACCCACTGGGACTTTGACTCTGCTTCCCTCTCAGTGGAGTTTCCTGCTCTCTAAATTCCCTGTGAGCTAAACCCTGAAATCCTCACTCACTTTTTACTCACGCCTTATTGACTTTAGTGGAAGTTGCTTGTACTCAGGGCCGCTCAGGAGCTGGCTCATACACTTCACTGGGAGGAGTATTGACTGAATAAAAACAAGGACCTCAGGATTTGGCCCAATGGAAACTTTGCTTAAACAGTGAGGTCCTAATATTGCAAATTCCTGAGCACCTATGATGTGCCAAGGGCCCTCAATTCCCATTGATTTTAAGGGGAGCTGAGGCTGCAGGTCCCTTAGGAATCTCAGGAATCTTTTAATGCAGAGAGATTTCTTGGGTTCCCTGCAGGACTTCAGAGATTCTTTGAATCCTTTGCTGCAGGGATCCTGCTTTTCCTCCTCCTTCCCCTAGAAGGGGATATGGAAGGTGCCCTGTCTTGGAACTTGCCACTAGCATAACAAAGAAGCACAGCCAGGAATCCCCTGTCGCTTGTAAATGGCTATAAATCGGGTTGGGGCATTTTGGTGTTCAGTGGATGAGTTTCAACTACTTCCGTCTGTGGTTGCTTTCACTGCAGCATCACTTCAAAATAATAATAATAATAAAAATCTCTCAGGAAACAAACCATGGAAAAAGCTCCCGAAGGAGCCCATTTGTATCTTTTCTTGTCATGACCTCATGCCAGACTCTTACATTTCACCCAAACCACAGCACGTCCAGTATGTAAAACAACATTCCCAAAATGGCAAGAGCGAAGAGCTGCAACCTCTCCCCTACTTGGAAGTGTTCCCTGGAGAGAGCTGCAGGAGGGGCGTGGGAGGGAGCTAGAAGATTGATTTGCGAGAGGAATATTTGTTAGTATATAGGGGCTTGAGTGGGAGGTAGAGCTTTGCCTCACTCTCTCTCGCTTTCCCTGCGAGCACAGTTCCTTCCCATCTGTAGTCCTAAGAGGTATGAATGGATGAGCCTGTTGATTTCTCTGCAGCATTCCAACCATGTGAACCTTACAGTAACATTGCACTGTACCTTGCTCAGCCAGTGCTGTAGTGTTGGCTCAGGATGGTGGTACTAAGGTCATCAATAGAGCAGCTCTTCCAGGTGAGAGCAGGGAAGGGTTGCAGTACCAGCACTGAGGACCTTCCATGTTAAAACAGAACTTGAATTTCCAATGGTGCTTTTTCCTCCTGAACCTTTGTGTGCACAAATCCCCTATTCTGCTACTGTCTTGAACCTTCCTTCCCTGCTGATTGTGCCGCTGCTCTTAACTGGGGCTTCTCCAGGCAGGCTCCTTGCCGCTATAGTTTGTGGCCAGTGATGATGATTATTACTAGTCCACTCCTGGGGCAGCTCTTCTGTTTGTTACCTTAAGCCTCCCTTTCGATGCCTTTTATTTACAGGCGTAAATATCCTGACTGTCACCCCGGTGGCAGAGCAGAAAGTCCATAAGAGCGGAGTCTGAACAGAGGTGGGTGACTGAAGAAGTATTACAAGGACGGTTTCCTAGACTGGAGGTAGCAAAGGCTGTCATGCGATGGACCTTAGGGCTCAAACCTTGAAAGCACTGCTGTGGGAGCGCTCCCGCGGCAGCGCTTTGAAGGGCGAGTGTGGTCGCGCGCGAGCGCTGGGAGAGAGCTCTCCCAGCGCTCCTGGTACTCCACCTCCACAAGGGGATTAGCGCCGAGGGCTGGGAGAGAGCTCTCCCAGTGCTCCTGGTACTCCACCTCCACGAGGGGATCAGCGCCGAGGGCTGGGAGAGAGCTCTCCCAGCGCTCCTGGTACTCCACCTCTCCGAGGGGATCAGCGCCGAGGGCTGGGAGAGAGCTCTCCCAGCGCTCCTGGTACTCCACCTCCGCGAGGGGATCAGCGCCGAGGGCTGGGAGAGAGCTCTCCCAGCGCTCCTGGTACTCCACCTCCGCGAGGGGATCAGCGCCGAGGGCTGGGAGAGAGCTCTCCCAGCGCTCCTGGTACTCCACCTCCGCGAGGGGATTAGCGCCGAGGGCTGGGAGAGAGCTCTCCCAGCGCTCCTGGTACTCCACCTCCGCGAGGGGATCAGCGCCGAGGGCTGGGAGAGAGCTCTCCCAGCGCTCCTGGTACTCCACCTCCGCAAGGGGATCAGCGCCGAGGGCTGGGAGCGCGGCTCCCAACGCGGGGGCACTGTTACACTGGCGCTTTACAGCGCTGTAACTTGCTGCGCTCGGGGGGGTGTTTTTTCACACCCTTGAGCGAGAAAGGTGCAGCCTTGTGAAGTGCCAGTGTAGCCATAGCCTCTGGAGAAGGAAAGAACAGTCGTGGAAGAATCTGTTTAGGGGATTGGTCTCCTGATCACTGCTTTTGAATACAGCCATGTCCTGCATTTCTGGCTTGACTTTTGCTTTGAATTGCTTTGCGTATTCATCACCCAGCGCTTCCTATTTTGTCTATCCCTGTATGGCTAATCCCTTTCCTCGAAACTAGCCAGTAACTAGAGATAATCATAGTTTGAAAATGACTAGAGGCACAATGCAGTTTACATACAATATACGTTTTGCCCAGGTTGATTTACACATGAAATGCACCAGTAAAAGACGATAACAATCTCTTTAAATATTACACAGGGTTAAATAACCTTTTTTTCACCCAAATGGTCCATTTTGTTTTTCCTTCAACAAGCACAAGCCTAGCTATGTAACTCCTGCTGCCATCTACTGGAAATCTGCAGGTCCAGCCAGCAGCAGGCTGGGCCAAAATCAGTGGAGATGTAAATGGTGTTACGTGTAAGCTGTTGTGAGTTACACACAGAGGGGGAAGGCAGAGTTGTAGCAGGAAAAACAGGAACGTTAAAGGGGAATGAGGCTAACCACCCTCCCACTCCTTCAGCATGTGACACCCACTCGGACATATTGATGTAATTAACACCACTGTTTAGATCTCCACTGAACTGCGCCCCATCTGCTCCGTTTTCTAAAGACTTTTTTTCTTTTGAGAGGTCCTTCTGGGTTGGGATTGAGGCCCACTGTGGGAACAGCATGGGGGAAGCATGCCCTACCGTTGCCCATGCTGTCTCTGCGCTCTGTGGATAACTAGAGGATAACTGACTCCCGGGCTCTCGATCGGGCACCTCTCCCCAGAATGAAGTCACTAAACCTGCAGACTCTGTCACTGAATGAAAAAGAGAGCAGCTACTCTGGGCAAGGCCAGAACCAGTGTCTATTCACAAGCTGGTTCAAACAATGGAAACAGAAGTGGGTTCAAACACTTGCGCTTGTGGACAAAGTGACATGATTAGGTTAACTATGCAGAGCCCTGTCTACCTGGGCTGGGGAAACCTGGCTAGCACTTCCCTAGCAAGTCCTCTGTTCAGCATGGCTTGCTAGAGGGGTGCTACTGCTGAGCCAGAGTCCCAGGCCACTAGAGACAGGACCCTAAAGAACAAGTGGTATTTGGTAGCTTCTTGCAGAGTTTCCTATATTGTAGCACTAGATGGTGAGAGCCAATTGGACATGGGTGGGGAGTGCTTATGTCCTGCCCCACCAGCCATCCAGCAATGAGGACAAGGAAAGTAGTGATGGATTAGGAGCAGAAGCATTTGTGGGGAACCAAACCTGCTATCTTCCAGGGTCAGTGGGAGCTGGGACATCCAGTCTCTGCTCCAGAAAGCTTATTTTAGGGGCTGGCATTGTGAGTTTTCGTGTGTGTGTGTGTGTTATTTAGCCCTTAGTGCTTATACGTATTTAAAGAAGGATTCAAGTGGCCTCACTATATGTTCACCATGGTTTCTGTTTCAATTCACAGGTATCTGCACTCAGAGAGGAAGTTACCTGAAGGTACGTCACACATGTTTAAACAAAAGCATCAGTGACGCTGCAGACATGACCTGTCTATTGACTTGCATGTTATGTCCAAGTCCCCATTGGAATAATTCACCTCTTCTTTGCAATGCAAATGAAATCTATAGCTGAACTCCTGGTTGCTCTTTCATACTTTTTCCTGAGCTCATGTTCCTGTACTGTCCCTTCTTCTGGGGCTGGGCATTAGCGTGACTCAGGCTGGTCTCCCACGGGAGTCGGGTTAGGTTCAAAGGCACCCTCTTCTCATCCTGTGTGTTTGTCCTGTCGGGATTGTGTGACACCAACTCTGCTTCTTGGCCTCTTGCTGTGTGCACATAGCTGCTGTTTGCAGGCCTTTGCCTTGCTCTCCAGTTCTTTTGATTTGTCTGTTTTTAGATATAATATTAGGCCTAGACATGAAGGTGAAAAGGGCTTTAGCAATGCAGTCAGATGAAGAACTCTAACTCAATAACATTGTTGCTGAGAATGGTTTTATAGCCAAGTTTAAACGCAGTCCTAGCTATATTATCCTAGGTCAGGTTCCCTCACCAACGTGGGCAATATGAGAAGCACATATTAAAACTGTGCTATGGATACTATCTGGAGGAATGGTCCGTCATACTGTTTGGCTAGGAGGGGTCTCAGCAAGGCCCCTGTCCACACTGCGGGACAACAGTAGCCAAAGCAGAGGAGAGGAAGAGCAACATGCTTCCTAACTACCCTCCTTCTGATGCTTTTACTCCATGCTACCCAATCCCAGAGCAGATCCTCGGCCCTTATCTCTCCCCCACTCCTCCCAGTGATCTGCTCTGGGAAGGAACTCTTGGAGGAGTCAGCTCTGCCCCCAGGCACAGAGATCCCCAACCAGTCCGGTCATCCCCACCCAGCATCCAAAAACCATCCACACTTTGCTGCCGTTACCCTAATCTCAAATCCTTTTTGGATGAGAAGGGTTGTGTGTCATACAGATTTGTGTGTTATACAAGGATTTGAGTGTGTCATACAGAGTTGCTTTTGCTTCCCTAGTGATTAAAGGTTGAGGGTCATCCATGTGGTGGAGCAAGCGTGGGCCCAGAAGCCAGAATCTCCTGCTCTTTTATCCTGACTCTGCCACTCTGTGGCCACAGTCAGGTCACGTCCCCTGGCTGTGCCTTGAGTGTCCCATCTGCGACTGGGAAGGTTCACACTGACCTCTCCCCATGGGGGATCTGGGGGGTTATGTCTGTGCAGCATTTTAAATGGGCAAAGAGCTGTGTGTGTACTGAGTATTGTCCAGAGATTGGGCACAGCATGAACAGCAGGGGTAGCTGCAAAGTGCTGGGAACAATGAAAAGCAAGTGCCTAGGTGTTACTGCCATGCTGCAAGGAGACAAATATGTCAGACCCCATCTGTGATGAACCCCCTTCAACAGGCTAATGCAGTTTGACTAGGCTTGGTTTAAGCATGGTTTGGCCCTGCCCTCTCAGGCCAGAGAGACCATGTCTAAAACTGGTTCAGATAACCAATGTAAGACCAGCATAGATGGCGCCTCAGTTTCTCTGGCAGCGCCAGTGGGCTTCTGAAGATATGCATGAGGCTAACTGCTCTGATTACATCACATCTTACATGACCTACAAATGCCAAAGGAGTCGGGAGCTCCCATGTTGCTGCTTACATTAAGCCTTTCCAAATATAGTTCCAGTCTCATTGAAATTCCCGGTATTTATAATTCGATCTGGCAGGCATGCAGGGCCATGCATCAGAAGGGCTTAATGAAATGATAGTGACGTCGGGCCCGCCTAGGCTGTCTGGAGCACAGCTGAAAAGCATACTCAGCCCAAGGAAAGGGCCTGCTCCCTTGCCAGGAACTAGGAACTGCGTGCATTGAACCTGTGTAAGCCCATGGGATCAAAGAGCCCACAGGAAATGATTCTGCAAATAGTCTTTCACTGGCATTTTGGGTAGCGGTATGCAAATGAGTACCCCGAGCATCCCACTTTGCTTCCTAATTCCCATATTGAGTGTGGCCACAGCAGGAAGCTGAGTCCTCCCGGCCAGCTCTGAGCAAGCAGGCCTGATTCAAGAGCTGGGGACAGCTGGTTTACACACATCCACGGTACATCCACCTCCTGGCTATAACCAGCTCCCAGCCAGAAGAGCCAGTGCACTAACATCTAGCAAAAGCAATGCAAGCCCCCTGTCATAGATAGCTCTGTAAGAGCCTACGTCATTCCAGGCACACTTGTTGCATACGTTTGTTGAAACAGAAAGCCAAGCTGACTGGGCTTCAGAACTCCAGCAGCTGATCCGCTAGCTAGAGAGGTCACACTAGCCTGGCCAATTGGTAAAGCAGCTGACTAACAATCTTAAATCTATCCTGGGGTCACAGTCACGACCGTCTCCTCCACAGGTCTTCGCCTGAGAGTGTCACAGGAGCAAGCCCATCAGTAGCGTCACTTGACATTCCCTTTCTTTTACCCTGGCTGGCAGGAAGGGCTTTGAATCTCTGAGCCCTTCCCATCTGTAGCTGGACTGTACATTCCCTACCAGCTTCGTTTCATCTCTTCTTCTCATTCAAAGTGATCTCTGCTGGTGGTGCCTCATGACCCTGGTCGTATTGCTAATGCAAACAACTCCTTTATTTAAGGTTTAAATTGTGGCTGCCTAAGCTGTTCCCGCTCTGTGCATAGAGGACTTCAGCCTGTGGGGCAGTAAAACTGGCACCTTTCACTAAATTCACTTGCAATGATTTTGCTTTCCAGTAGCAATGTAGTGAGCCTTCCCAGCTGCTAGGGATCGGGAAGCAAAGGGCAATGTGGTTGCAGATGAATTAGTATTTCTTAGAAAAAGATGATTAGGGAATGGGGGAGCAGCCCAGACTTCACAGTCCATCAGTGTTTAACCCTAGGGCAGGCCATCCCTCTCTTCCCAACTTTGCACTTAGGAGCTCCGGAGGCTCTGCCAAGGCTTGTAAACAGTGATCCAGGAAAGGAAAAGGCCCATTGCACTATGTTTGCTTTTTGTACACCCCATTGAAAAGGGCTGAGATGCAAACAGGTGGCTGATGGAAATGTGGAATACCAGGGCAAGGGAATCCATTTCAGTGGCTCTCCTCTGCTCTTCCACACAGCAGGGCATGATCCAGACCTCTTCAGCTGGAGTTACCCAGCAAGCAGATTTCTACACTTGAGCAGCCCAGAGGGTCTCCGTCCACATCCCCTACTGACTGAACACAAAATGGATCTGACAGGCCAGGCTTTCATGGGTCTCCTTAACTGTGATTGCATAATGGGTGGGCACTGCTGGTTTGCACACACACAATGGATGTGCCTGCAAATTTTCATCGGCACTTAAGGACGGTCGACAAGCCCTGGAGTTAAAGAACAGCAAAATAATTCACTTCTTGGAAACAAGAAATTGACTTTCTTGGAGGTAAATGAACGGAAGCCACTTTCCACACCACCAAGTCACTTCAGTCTGTACCACTGTCCCCTCTCGCTGGGAGCCACCTTCGCAGCATTGAGCTGAATACGCTCAGCAGCCTGAAAGGATTACACACCTTCCATGTTGATGGCAATGACCAGGAAGATGAGCCAGAAGTTAAACTCGGGTCTGAAATGAAGTTTGGGCCTCATTGTCAGGTCCAGGAGAAAAGCCTGAGCCCCTGCCCCCCATTCTCACCTTGTGTTTCTCCTGCACCACAGAGGGTCTTTGGTGCAAGGGAAGGGGAGTGGTACAAAGTATCCCTGGCACACAGGTTTCAGGGCTTCTGGTGTCCAATACTTCCACGTGGTCTAATTGTAAGCAGCCTGGTAGGACAACAGGCCCCTTCACCCTTCCCTAACCACCTGTGCAGGGAAGGCACAGTGACCTTTAACAGGCCAGTGTTCCACTGAATTGCTGCCTCTTCAACTGGAATGGATCAGGTACATGGTACAGCTCTGACATGACGAATGTGCTGAAGGCTTCTGAACTTGCTGCCATCTGGTAAATTGGCACACTAGCTTGTATATGATGGTTGCTTTCTTCCAGTTACAGTTACCATTGGAGAGCGCCATCTGCTGGAAACGTCTCTTTATGACCTGGCTCTTTTTCTAATGTCAATATTAACGATTTATCACCTTCTGGACAATATTTACTCTGGCTTATCTGCTAACATCAGACTTCCTCTGTCAGGTCAGAGCCTGCAGCAATGTGAACTGATGTGACACTTCTGTGAAAACTCCAGATCATATACCTTGTGTCACTCTCTATTCTAGCACATTGGATCAGGATGGAAACCTGCTGTTGCCCTCTGACCCTCTAGCCCTGCCCACTTGCAGATGCAGAAAGTAATGCTGAAAGCTATCTCAGCTCTGTCAAGCCTGCCAGTGACTAACCCCTCAGGAACAAGTCAGCTGCAAACCCTGCCAGAAAGAAGACTGGGAGAGGTTAGTGCTGATCTAGTTAGATTGTATTGGCCAGGCTTTAATCATAATCAGGCAAAAATCATCTAATAACCAGGGACTAATGCAAAAGCAGGAACAATTATGATTTTTGTCTTTGGGAGTGCAAAAGGAAATAGAGAAGGTGGGGAAAATCCCTTCACCTTTCCTTTGGAGGGAGGAAGAGGAATTGAGGGGTCTGGAGGCAGTGCTGGAAGGAGGGGTTTCCAGAAAACCTACAGTGTTCTTTCACTGATGGCCCCTGATGAAATAAGAGCAAAGTTAAAAAGTGGGTTGGTGCCACTCCTAGGAATAGGTGAGGGGCAAGCATATGCTCCGACTCATTTGTGAGGCTGGAGAAAGTTGGAGGTCTTGCCCTGTCTCCATTCTTTGTTCCTCGGCCCAGAATATTCCACAGCTTCCTTCTAAATGTCTTTATCAGCATGCTGCTCCCCTCATTCTACACCTCAGAGACCTCTGTGTGGCTTCTCCCCCTGCCTGTCTCCAGGAATTCCACAGATAGCTCGCTCAGGGTATGAACAAGAGTTGTTGCTTTCCCACCCTGGACCTGAGCCACTTTTGCACTAGAATGCAGGTTTTAGTGAAACTAACTTGTGCTTGATCCTGTGAAATCAGTGGGAGTGAGACTGTTCTGCACCCCTAGCACCAGGCCCTTAGTAAGTAATAAGTGTCTGTCTAGAGAACTCACAGCACAAAGGCAGCACCCCAAGCTGCCAGCTACTTGGTGGGCACAGAATGAGGAATGCACATTGCCTAGGGACTTTTAGGAGGGTCTCTCTTCTCTCCTTGTCTTGGAGTCAGTCAAACCTCAGCCAACTTCTTCCCTCAGAGTACAGTGAGCCACTCCTGGATTTCAGCATCATGTCCCATTTGTCTGAGAACAATCAATTGCTTCATGTTCACTTTGTGATCCTGAATCAACTTGCTTCATGTTCACTTTGTGATCCTCGTGCCCTGTGAGAACATAATGACAACGGAGAAGGACCTCAGTCCCCAGCTGAAGCTGTATTAGATGTGTGATCTTGGGTTCTCCTAGGGTTAAAATGATACAGACATTGTGACAGTTCAGGCCTCCCTTTGCACCCTCCCTTCAGAGTTTCATTGAGATTGCAGGGGCATGCTGCAGTGCATCTGATTGCGGAGCCTACTATGTCTATACAAAGTGACTCTGTTCTCATCTGTCAAACTCCAAGTAGTGCCTAAAATAAGGAGCATAATTACTTCAGCTTCTGAAGTGTCAGGAAATCTCAAGGCACTTTCCCAAAGAGCTACATTTCCTTAATGGGACCATCAGCTGAGCTCATTAATAAATACAGTTTAGCCATGAAAAAAATTTAGCAATTAACTTTTGAGTTCAAAGATTTCTTAGAAACAGGGGAAAGAAATGAACCATAGCTGAATCTGTTCTGCATGCTCCTTTCACCCCCTGCATGACAAACATCTCGGTGATGGGTTTTGAGCTCCTGTTAACATGTAATCACCTGCCTGTGTTAATATCTCCTGCAGTCATTCCTGGACACTGAAAACACTCCTTTCTGTAGCAAAGCATGTTGAAAATTGGAATAGAATGACAATCAAATGAGCTTGTTTAACTACCTTCAAATGATACAGTGTTGGCATTCAAAGGGCCTTCCCATGCATTTCAATGGGAACAGGACTGGGCTCAAATAAGTTCAGAAATAATTGAGATTGTAATAAAAAGGCATCCAACCTTTAAACCCAGGTTTTCTTCTTGGGAGTCCAAGTTTGCTGTCAGCAGAATAGCTAAGAAGCAAACAGAATTGAATAGAAATTCACATGACACAAAAGTAGGTTCTGACAGAATTTGGACTCCTGGTGGGCTGTCATACAGGAGACTGGGGGCTTTGCCTACCCTCGTGATGCTGTGAGCTTGTAATCATCTTGTTGTCTTGCATGCTTTCTCCTGTTGCTCTGCTCAGGGTGCCGGGTCCTTACGCTCAAGTCAGTAAACCTCCTCCGGAAGTACATCTCCATCCTGGATGTCCCCATTAGCTGCCTCCAGTCCCAGGATGTTCTCTTTATACTAACAAAGGAGGAGTCTGAACAAGCCAAGGTGAGATGCATTGTTCCTGCCCAGTCTGTTTGATCATTTCAGAATTGTTGTGAGAGCTTCAACAAAAAGCGCCTCATGCATGTAGAACTTAAAAATATATATACTGCACATGGAGTGTAATTGTCACATTTCAAACAGTCTTTGATTTATGAAGCATCAGTGGATTTGCTTTTAGGACTATTTACTTGTCAAGACAAATTGCTTTGTACGCTGTTCAGATGGTGGGATTGGGCAGCTCTTAGACCCTGGGTGGCCAGAGTGCACGCTTATATTTGATACAGTGATGTGGACTATAGAGACTACAGTTCCCAGCATGCAGTATTCTCTCTTGATCTGCCCTCTGCGTTATATGACTACTTATGGCAGCAGGCTCTTAGCAAGTTGCCCTGTCTTTTGGGCAAACTTTGAGTTATTCTACTGTGTGCGATCGCTATACATTCTTGTCGAGAAACGTCTAATCACCATATGATTAGAGCTCCCTCCACAGTATATTAAAGTAAACATTACAGAGCAAACAGTGCTGCTAATCTACAAGTAACACCCACAGCACTGTCATAGTTGTGAGGGTAGTAACAGAAGGTTCCAAGTACAAAAATTCCTCTGATATTTCAAGCCACAGTGGCTAGAACCTTGAATCTGACCTTCCTACTGACACTTACTTTCCAAGTGGCATCTCATAAATACATGAAATGGGCCTCAACTAGCAACATTTGGTCATATGCAACCACTTGAAAATATCCCCAGTGATTCCAGTATAGCACTGTTTGAGTTTAGTCAGAATCCCACCGCTGGTAAGCTGTGTTTGTGGTGGTCCTTTGGTGGGTCTCTGAAGACAGGTTTCACTGTAAATCTAGTAGTGAACTTTACAGAAAGCCCTGAAAGCTGTCTTCCGAATGGGTTTGGAAGGTCTAATGCTTTCTCGCATATTTTTATCTTTCTAGAGAGCCATGCGGTGCCATCACAGCCAGCTTCTCTGGTTCCGCCACACCTATATCCTGTTCTCACGCTTTATGGTGATCAATTCACTTTGCCTTCTGTAAAGGGAAGGAGAATCATACACACTTCCAGGGGGGTATTGAGAGACCAGAGAAGGGAGACAAAGAAAAGAGAGGCTCTTCTTGACCAAGCACTGTTGATAGCTCTTGCTTCTTTATTGTCTCAAGAAGAGGACAGAATTCCACCTTCTGTGTGCCCTGCAGCCTTTCAGATTGCAGAAACATACTGTATTTACATCCTTCTAGGTGTCCTTTGCCTGACAGCCTGGGAGATGCCTGGGTTCAAACAAAAAGAAAAGGAGTACTTGTGGCACCTTAGAGACTAACCAATTTATTTGAACATAAGCTTTCGTGAGCTACAGCTCACTTCATCGGATGCATACCGTGGAAACTGAAGCAGACTTTATATATACACAGAGAATATGAAACAATACCTCCTCCCACCCCACTGTCCTGCTGGTAATAGCTTATAGCTATACAATTACTGAACTCCCATTGTAACAGCTTAAATGGTCTTCGAACCACCAGCAAATCAGATTGATCTGAGTCTAATTACTAGTGAAGTAGAATTTTGAAGGTGTTTAGAATACAGCATGTACTTTATGTGCTTTTACAATGGGTGTCCCCAGGGAGACAAGGCCCAGATCACCACCTGGTGATTCCTGCGTTTTACCCATTTCCCTCTGCTGTAAAGATCAAGCACCAGGAGTGATTTGTCCAAGGATACACATTGTCCCTTGGGGTTTGAACCAGGATCCTCACAGCCCTCAGGCTATAACACTGAACCACCCAGGACTGCCTGTCAGTCAGCCAGTTCCTGCTGATGGAGGGCTGGTTTCTTGACTTTAAAATGCCAAAACTTTAGGAATAAAATATTAAAAATTAATAATATATAACTAATATAATTGCACTGAACTCTTAATGTTCCTTCCCTCTCGACCCTCCCAGCCACCCTGTGGTGCGAGCTTTACTCTGCTGGACTGTACCTCGTGAAACACTAGTATTTATTCCTGCTTCCAAACAAAGTCTTTGAGATCCGCTGAACCTAAGCTGTTTTTTACCAGGATGTGCAGGGTGTACAAATGAAGTTACAAGTGAGAGGACGCCAGCCAGTCCTTTGACAGAATAAATATATAGACATAAAAATTCCAGATGCACCATTTGAAAAGCTGCCCCCTTCCTCTTAGCTGCCAGGAGGAAGTGCTGGGTTCTGGGTTTTGCAGCCCACAGATTCAGCAGGTAAGTGACAGAGAGGCCAATTTTCAAATATGTATTTGTAATTTTTAAGTCTACACAGAGATTTTAGTAATAATTGGAATCTTAAAGGAGAACTTTCACACCGGAGCAAACTAAATAATACTCAGCATTTACAGAGCACTTTGCACTCATCATTGAGTTATTCCTCACCACACCTGTGGGAGATAGGGATGTAAATACTATAAACCCCAGTGTAAAGATGGCATAAGCAGCTTGCCCAAGGATACAGAGCAAGTCATTGCACTGCCAGGATCAGAGCCCAAATTCCTAGCTCCTAATTCCTTACTCAAATCACAACATCCTCCCAAACATAGCTATTAAAAAGATACTAGGGCAGAACTGTACTCTCAGTACTTAAGCACACAGCTAGGGTTGCCAACTTTCTAACTGCACAAAACCGAACACCTCTGTCCCGTCCCCTGCCCCACCCCCCCACTCACTCCATCCCCCCTCCCTCCATCGCTTGCTCTCCCCCACTCTCACTCACTTTCACTGGGCTGGGGCATGGGGTTGGGGTGTGGGAGGAGGGTGAGGATGAGGGCTGGGAATGTGGGCTCTGGGGTGGGGTTGGGAATGAGGAGTTTGGGGTGTGGGAGAGGGCTCCGAGCTGGAGCAGGGGGTTGGAGTGCGGGGGTGGGGTGGGTGAGGACTCTGGCTGGGGGTGCAGGCTTTGGGATGGGGCTGAGGATGAAGGGTTTGGGGTGCAGGAGGGGGCTCCAGGCTGTGGAGTGCAGGAGGGGATGTGGGCTCCAGCTGGGGCTGTGGGCTCTGGGGTAGGTCTGGGAATGAGGGGTTTGGGGAGCAGAAGGGGGCTCAGGGCTGGGGCATGGTGTTGAGGGGTACAGGAGGGAGTTTGGGTGCAGGAGGGGACTCCAGACTGGGGCAGGGGGTTCAGGGTGCTGAGTCCTGGCAGCACTTACCATGGCTCCCAGGAAGCAGCTGCCAGGTCCCTGCATCCCCTCGGTGCATAGGTGGCCAGGGAGGTTCCACGTGCTGCCCTTGCGCTCGCACCCGCAGCCCCCATTGCATTAACTTCAATGGCAGTACTCTTGTGTTGAAAGTTAAACACGTACGAAGAACTTGCTCAATTGGAGCCTGTTATGCCAGCATCAGCCTGGTATAGCTCTAAATCCAGAGTAACTTCAGTGGAATCAATGGAGAGACCAGTGTAACAGAGCAGAATTGGGAGACGTTATTTCACGTAGTACAGTTGTGTAAACCAGGGGTTCTCAACCTTTCTCTTTCTGAGGCCCTCCCAGCAAGCATGCTATGAAAACGCCACAGCCCACCTGGGCCACAACAACTGGTTTTCTGCATATAAAAGCCAGAGCCGGCATTAAGGGGTAGCAAGCAGGGTAACTGCCTGGGGCCCCATGCCACAAGGTGCCCTGTGAAGCTAAGTTGCTCAGGCTTCTACTTCATCCCTGGGTGGCAGGGCTCAGGGCCCCGGGCTTCAGCCCTGCATAGCAGGGCTTAGACTTTCTGCCCTGGGCCCCAGTGAGTCTAACACTGGTCCTGCTTGGCAGAACCCCTGAAACCTACTCATGGTCCCCAGGGGGCCCCGGACCACTGGTTGAGAACCACTGGTGTAAACCAGATCATAACGCAACTGGGATGTGTCTATACTAGCCAAAGACAAGATGGTACAATCTTGCAACAGATGTAAGAACCTTGTTCTAACTAATGTGATTTGAACTCTGCTGCAGATAGGGGCAGCGTCAGAATAAGGCAAAGAGGAAAAATCCCAGCTGTTGGGTAGGTTATGGAACTGGTGTGGTCTGACAACTGAATATAAAATGAAAGGAGGGAAAAAAACAGGCAGCACAGAAAGATTTATTTAAAAAAACAAAAAAGAGATACTTCCTGAACAGCTCGGCACAGGGGAGCTTGAACTAAGAGGTTACATGATGGCCTGCCAATGGCAGTGCTCCAAGCTGAGCACTTTGGTGCAGAGGCTGTATCATGGTTTCGACATGCTCCTGATGATCTTATGTTCCTTCACGGCCTTCTCCCACTCTTTGCCATTTATCTCCTCCATGATGGTGCTGCGCATGGTGCCCTCATCCAGGCAGTGGGGGGCTATTCCTGGAGAAGAGGGGGAAATACAGAGAGAAGCTCTCCCTTTGAAGCCAAGGAGAGCTAGTCTCTCAGTTTCATGGGCAGTGAATCTCAGAGGGTGGTGATGGTGTCGATACAGCTGCAGCAGGTGAGAAACCGTAGATGGCCAGTGGCCCATTGGTCACAGTTAAGACTTACACAATAAGGAGCTGCTACTGAAAGTTGCAGCTTCAGATGTTCAGTACTTTAGAAGCAAGCTGTATGATGCACAGTTATTGTGCTACTGCTCTTGGCAGAGTGCTAATGGTCATCATGGTCAGTATACAAGAGCAGCAGGGGGTGAATTTGTGTTGCCGTATGTCTACCAGGTTTCTTCCCTGTTCTGTTTACCTACCATAACCATCTGGGTTAGAACGAGGAGTGTAAAAGCTCTGCACACCACAGGTCTTACAGAATGTGTGCTGGGCGCGGTGCGTGTTGAAGGTGTACGTTGTTATGTTATCAGCACCCTAGGCAAAAAAATACATGATGAAGGTTTGCCAAGTACCCAGAAATGGGTCATTTTTTGTCACTTACATTCCACAGGCTTGTAGTTAATAAATGTAAAATTGCAGGCACAAGAACAGAAGCCTAATTAAGACTAGTCTAAAATATCACCTGCTATGTCTTTATGTGAGTTAGAGTTAAGAATACTGCATGCATGCTATTTTGTTCCATATATTTATCTCCTTCCCCTACCCTCTGTGCTTTATTTTCACATACACCTTTCCGCCAGACAAACCTAACAATTGCCATGGCTTTACTTTCTGACCACTGAAATGCAGTCACTGAACTCTCTCTATTACAGCAGGTCTATTACAAAGTGCTTAGTTTTTTTTAAATGCTCCAAAGTAAACATAATTGGGGCTTTTCCTCCTAGAAGCAGTGGACAAATTTCTGTGTTTATCTGAGACCATCCAACTATAAAAGAAAATCAAATTAAATGATGCTAGAAGCTGAGAAAAATTAATCTAAAAGCTACAGTCCTCAGAAAACTTGGAATCCAAGAGCCTAACCTGGAATATGCCCTTGTAACAATTAAAATGTAAAAGAATTAAGCCTGTAATCAAAATTTAAAAATCAAGTTAAGGAAGTCTGAAGCTGATCTAAAATAGAGGCAGAATGCTTTAGAGCAATGTGCTTGGACCTAATCCACAGCCCAATAAGTCAAGACTCACACTGATTGCGATGGGCTTTGGCTCAGGTCCTTAGCCCATTAGGAGTATGAGTGTGACAGTAACGCTCTTTATTGTCGTCAGTGTAACACTGACTTAGCATATTTACCTGGTGTACACACCTCCTGGGGTGTACATACATCCCTGCCTCATCTTTTGAAGAGATATATTCACTTTTCAAACATGGAACTTCCCATTCTGAGACACGTTAACATACACATACAGCCAGGCTTCTAGGATCCAAATGGATTTTTCGTGTCTCCAAACACATCTCCTCAGACAGACACAGACAAATTTAGGATACAAAGTTGACCACCATCTGAATCTTTCAGAATCAAATATCTTGACAGGTACCCATACCCACTGCACTCATAAACCCTAACCTACCTTCAGCAGCTTGAAGTGTGAAGCCGGGACAATGAAGTGTCTGTTCTGTTTCTTTATGCAAATACTGCAACTGTACGAGGGGAAAGAAAAAGAAAAAAACCATGACTAGTCTATAGGCAGTTATAACCTGCAATGTAACAATCATATCTAGCCTAAAGCTCTCAACAAGTTAGATTTCACTGAAAACTATAATTATTTTTACCTAGTTGTCATCAGGGTGGATATTAGAGAGACAAGAGATTCAATAGAAGTTGGTCCAATAAAAGATATGACCTCACCCACGTTGTCTCTCTAATATCCTGGGACCAACACAACTACAACAACATTGCAAACATTAGGTTTGATGACAGGAGTGGACAGACTGCAACTATGGCATATGTATTTGTGTATGCGTCCATTCAGTCCAGAGACTTACGTTTCCCTGTAATACGGAAAGTAAGCTTATCAAAACTGAGAGCTATATAACTGTCTTCTCTCCACAATACAACTCTCAGTGGATAGATCAATGCTGAACTGTGGCCTTGAGAAATCCATGTAAAGTTTGCCAACTTAATCCAAATGCTACCAATATTAATTACTTTGCAAACCAGGGAAACAGATTTGTAGTGACATCTGAGCTAGAAAGAAACTAATTCTGAGTCTGTGGAAAGACCATACTGAAATTAGACTATTTTATAGGGCTTCAATATATATCCCTCACCACATGTTGGTAGTAATGTGTTCTCCGTTTGATAAGAGAATGCCAGGAAAGGACCAAACCCCACGACCTTGAGAGATCTGTTGGAAAGCATTTTGTTTTGATGATGTATAAAATGCAGGTCCTGAGCATTTCTGGTTGTTAAAACCTTGACAGTTTTTTTACAAGCACAGGTATGAATCATGAAACTGTAGCTGAATTCCAATGTAAGTTGTTGCATTCTGCTTACCTATATTTCCCTCTGCAGACCCATATGGAGCTGGTATTCTGCACTCCTTGTTGTGCAGAATCCTGTTAAACATCTGCCATGTTTTACTCCAGATATGGCTACATTTTAGTATTGGGGTAAGTGGTTCCTGTATGTATAGGAGTTTGTAAAATTCTGTATATATGTAAGATATTGTTGTTAATAATGATACTAAATATAACACTTTGCATGTGTTTAGAACCTTCCATTCATGGATCTCATTAAATTTATTTAGCTTCACAGCATCCCTGCAAGATATCCAAGTATTACTGTCTTCATTGTGTGGCTGAGGAAACTGAGGCATAGATATAGTAACTTTTCAGGATCACAGGGGAAGTCTGTGTAATTATTAACTGTAGTAGTTGTAGACTGTGTAGTAATAATCATCACATCTTACCAAATTGTAATGAGCAAGTCACTTTGATCTGCATTTACTCTTCATAAAGGACATTTAATATTTTCCGTATATAGAGCACTTGAAGTCAATGGAATTTCTCATCTGGATTTAATTGGACCTTGTATTAGGGCCATAGCTAGTATTCCACAAAATTTAAAAATGGGATATTTCTTTGACTTTTTTTATGTCTACTGTTTCTGGCCTATGAGAGGCAGATCTCATCCTCAACAATCTGCTAAAATTGCCTGTAATCACACACCTAGTAGCAATCTCAGTAAGGATCCCTGTAACGCCAACACTGCTACAGTCTCCCTGTTCTCAGCTGCTTTCCAAGCACTTGTTATCTCCCTGACAACTGCAGCTTTTGCCACAGCCTGACCCCTTCAGCTAGGGCATAAAGAAAACACGAAGTTGTCACTGTGCTGCCCAGAGAGAAGTGCACAGCACCTTCCTTTCTCTGCCAATCAGCACATTGTGCACTTGCAGAACCAGCACCAGAAATCAACAGTACTAACCTACTCAGCTGGGGCTGCATCCTACAGGAAATAGGTTAGACAGCGCTCCTGCTACTATACCAACTTCCAGTGGATTTCTGTTTGGTAAACACTTTGAGATCTTTAGATGGGAAGTGCTAGAGAAGGGCAAAATATTTGGTTATTCAGATTTGGGGATGGCAAAATAAATAAATAAAAAACACCCACTTGCAGTCAAAAATGTGCAGATCTGTTGATGCCCAAACCTCGAAGCGGATAGCTCTGCAGTGACAGCCTCCTGTGTACTTCACCAGGCCTTTGTACTCACTGGATGGAGAAAAGGCGCACGCACACAAAAAGAGAGGATTTGTGATCAGACAATTCTAGTTGGCCAAGGAAGCACTGAGATTTCATAGTGTCCAAGTCAGCTCTACCAGAGTCATTATCCACTCAGATTACTTAGCAATGGGGGCCAAACTGAAGCAGACCCACCTTCCCCCAAACACATGTCCAAATTCTGACCTCAGTTACAGTAGTGTAAATCTAGAGTAACCCATAGAATTCAGTCAAATTATGTAAGGATTACACCAGTGAAATTAAGACTAGAATTTTCCCATGTTCCCACCAATTCTGCTCCAGGATGATGTTCATTCTAGATAGAAAGCATCACTAACTTGCTTCCATTTTAGAAGCTGGAAACAGAGACGATAAGTAGGATTTAATTAGTTTAAAACATTTTAATATGTTTTTGAAGTCTCCCAGCTGCACTCACAGACTCAAGAAGCCTCTGCTTTTTGTATTTCTTTCACTCCCTTAGGACTTTGCCATGGTAACGTAGCTAAATCAACATGCTAGATCAGACACAAAGATACGAAGTCCCTTGCTTTTCATATTATCAATTGCATGTACTGACAGTTTGTTCAGATTTATTAATGGGAATACCAAAAAGATAACTATATTACACACACGTTCAGATGGGACAGCAGGATTAGAATATGAGCTTGGTAGATGCGTCACTGTAAACAACAGAAAAGAACAGGATAAAAGGATTTTTACTTCCCTTTCATGTGAGGTCCCTGAAACATGAACAGATTAAGAGTAACAGCCCACAGATTCCATGGGAAGAAAATAAACTCTGTGGCTCCACAGAAGCCAGTGTTTATCATTGTGAAAATGCTGACAAGAGGAATATTACACTGAATAATCATATGGACAGGCTTCAGGTACAGCAACTGTGGCACTTATGGGGCAGAGATTCTGGGGTGAGAAACTGCCGAAATACAAAAGAAAGTCTTTTTGAAGATAATTAAGTAGTCTGACTAAATCCAACGCTGTACTTGGCCCCTAAATCTGAATACAAAGCAGAGATATGTGTCCAGTCAGAGCTGCTGTATGTCTAGCCATTACCACTTCTCTGGATGTGATTATAAGATGTGTGCAATGAACCTCCCACATTATTACCAAAATCAACACCTAGATATTACACTGATAAGCATTTTAGAAACACTTAGATAAATCTAAATGTAAGAGGTCTGGATAACACTGCCAGGTAACACTTATTTGCATTGCCATTAAGAATCAAAAGAAAGGTGGCTGGGTGAGCCTTCCAAAACCATGTTTTTGGAAGGCTTAGCCTCCATGTATTGGCTTGCTTATTGAGCAAGAAAAAGTTTGCTGTTAATTTCCCATAAAATCCACATTTTACTCTACACATGGATTCACGGAAGTCATTTATGTGGCTAAAGCAATACGTGAAGGAAAAACTGTGGAAGGCCCTACTGTCATTCTCTCTCTCCAAACCCAGAGAAGCATGGTTTGTAGATGTATGACCCTTCTGACTCCATTAATTATTAACCAGGCACTTATCAGACCACATTGATAAAGGTCCACAGGGAGCACTAGCCTGGCTCGAATCAGCATTTCTAATGAGGGTTTGTATATTTACATTAGTTACATTAATGTCCTTTGTCTAAAAGTACCTAAGTGTAGGTTTATACCAAACACAGAATGCAAAGATGGAGAGAAGGTCTATCAGGGCATCAGTCATGTGGGTTACACCCACCTGAGCCCAAGGGGGAGCAGCCCCCTTCAAAGCCACAGGGTAGATGGGGTCTAGGGGAGAAAAGTATACTGTCCTAACTCCAGCTCTAACAATCATGGGCCCGCTCCCACTGACTTCAGAGAGAGCGGGTCAAAAACGTACAGATGGGTCACACAAAGTAACGCATGAGAGATCCTGTCCAAAGCGATGCTGCACTCAGAGAGGCCCCTACCCCGGAGGCCAGGAGGGAAGATTTAAAGAAATGCAGGTGGGACCCAAGCAGCATGCAAACCTGCACCATCCCAACTGCAACGTGCACCAGCCCTTAAACGGCAGCAGCATGCCGCAGTGACAGGATAAGCTCGCCGGGGGGAGGGTCGTTTCTGCCCGCACCGGAGCGAATTGGAGAGACGCTGCCCTGCCTCGGTGGGAAGAGCGTAGTGCCTGGCGACTCCCGCGTCCCCCTCCTTCTACTCACAAGGTGTCCAGGAGGAGTCTGGCTGCCTCCTCGCAAGTCAGGCGTTGCCTCTCCTGAAACTTTACCCAGCGCTCCCTCTGCGCCCCCAGATCGAACCGGCGGAACTCCGGGGGAGGCAGCGGCGGCTCCCCTGGCCGCTCCCGGGGAGCCGCAGGCTTCTTGCCTACCCACGTGCTCTCTTTTCCCCGGAGGGAGCGGCCGGCAGCAGCCGGACACGCTGCGGCTGGGCTTCTCCCCCGAGATTTCCGTGCAGAGCCTGCCTTGGTTTTCCCCATGCTCCTGGCCCTGCACCCCCGTAACCACAGAGCTTGCGGCTGGGCCCCTCTGCCTTGGGGCCTTTTGCTCCGCTGTTGTGATCTGGAGTTTAGGTGCAAAGGGACACTCTGGGGCTGCTGCTTCAGAGTCCAGAGCCACGTGGACTGGGAGGGTTTGGAGCCAAGTCCTTGGGAATGAGGAAAGGTGGGGAAGGAGAAAGCTGGATCCTGCCAGTTTTTGACACCCCCCCTTCTCCCCAAAATTCCACTGCTTACACGGAGAACAAGCGTAACCCCTCCTATTGCATCCAGTGCCCAGATCCTGAGGAAACCCAGTACAACGGTGCCACAAATACCTAGATCACGCACCTGAATCCAGACAGTGATGAGACCCCCTAATTCTACTGCATAGACCAGGGTAGATGTTCCTTTTACACCAAACACATAACCCATCCTGGTTAAGGACACTGCAAATACCGAGATCTAGCACTTGAATCCTGCCAATTTTTGGCTCCAATCCCTAAAATTTCACTGACTATACAGAGATCATCCAGGTTTGTGCTGCACTGATGTGCCAGGGTTTGGGCATGTGTGGGAAGTTGGTACAATAGCAGTAGCTAGTCTTGTCCGCCATATAGATAGTAGAATTTGGAGTGGTGGGGCCCAAAACTGGGAGGAGTTGGTAACATTAAGGTGGCTCCAGTGTTTAAACTTTTTGGGTCCCAAGGGGCAGAGCCCAGTGTTACTTCAGCTTGAGGAATCTCATACCAGCTTTATCATCACCAAAGCCGTACATCAAAGTTGGCTCCACTCGCAGACCAGTCACAGTGAGGCCCGGCCCAGCACTGAATGATTAGAAGGACTGGTCGTCAGGACTGAGCCATAGTGTGTGTAGCAGGAAAGCTTTGCCTGCAGCTATCGTGCGTAAAGAGGATTTCAGTCTCCAAGGCCATCAATCAATCTGACACCAAAGTTACCCCTTTTCAGAGGGCAGAAGAGCAATGGTGCTTCCCCTCAAGCTCTCAGCCCTTCTGGTGAAAAAAAAATCATATTTCTGAGACTCACGTTTTTTTTACTTCACTGAACTGGTCCAACCAGCAAACAATCTAATTCAATGGGAACCAGAATGAGCTCCCTCCAACCTCAATTCTTCCCTACGACCATCACCTACCTTCTCTTGTGTTAAAAATTCACATTGATTATATTTTAGAGCCATTTCTTCCAATGAACTGAGTTCTGCCCACACCTCCACAGACATACAGCAAGATTTGACTTGATCTGTTTTTCACAGAGGCAAGCTGGACAATTCCTTAAAGGGAAACATTCTCATATTTAAAACTATTTTTCTTCAAGGGTTACCTGAATCAGTCTGGGCTTTACAGCAAGAACAGCTGCTGTCCCTCTTTCATACTGTAAAAAAAGGGTGGAATTTGTATAGTTTTCAAGATTTTCCCCAGGAAGGATCAGTTTGAAATGCCACGTCTAGTTTCCAGAAGTGTAATATATGCTCCTAACATAGTATCACTCAGGTGCAGCTGGGCAGTGCTTCCTCCTGGGCTTCTG